GTTGCAAACAGTATGCTACCACTTTGTCCACAATTTCATCAACTGTAAGTACTGGCTCGGCCAGTGGAACTGTTGAAGTCCTTGAGCTGAAATCTGCATTCTCGGGCTGCCCCAAGGTTGAAGGCTCTGGGATGCTTGGGGTGAGGCTAGGATCAATGATGTCTGGGTCAATGTCTGCCTGCTTTTCTTCCACAGAGGCCACAAAGGTGCTGCTTTCTTGGATTTTTTGTGGCTCTGATGCAAACACAGAAATACTCAGGGTGTCATCATCCTCAGATTCAGAGCTTAGGAGACCTTCTCTGGTCTTGCACATCATAACGTGAAACCTAAGGTCTTTCATTAATACCTCCTTACTACAGATAATGCACTTTTCTTTGACTTGGGATTTGTTCTGTGGAAGGATGCTGACTGTCGACAAATTCTTCTGTATCGGCCGCAAGTACAACTTGGATTGTGACCCCACATTTGCCTTTAGATCTTTGGCAGCCCAAGAACAGTTCAAAGGCTTCAGTTCTTTGACACCCAAGACACAGTACATTATTTCGAATCCTCCCGACTCCTTCAATTGTGGGAAACCTGTGACCTCGCCATCCTCACCCTTGTCACCACACGTTACCTTTTCTAACACATCTTGCTCGTTATCTTCTAAGTCTAGTTTGATTTTCTTCATGCAGATTCCAGCATGGAATAGCACTTGCTTTTCTGCCGACGACGGAATCCTAGATTGATGGCGGCTGGCTAAACAAACGAAACTTACTGTCGAAGTCCTTCTTGAAGAAGTTTTCTTTTCCCACCACGGCCACCCCTTCTACTACTGCCACTTCGTCTGCTGAAAAGAGCCATGCGTTCACTAAGAGCAGCTGCAGCCGCAGACTGATGTTGTTTTTCAGCGTTAGCACAAAGCGCACGGAGACGATGGCGATTGCCGATTGTAGTAAGGCCAAGACGTGAAAGCACCTCATTGGACAACTCTGCCACATTTTCAGGCTCAATTTTTTCGGAAGCAAATTTCGGAATAAGAGACTCGAGTTTAAGGTCCTTCAGAATACTCTCCATAATGTTTTTTTCTTCCACGAGCTAATCGGAATTTTCTGTTCCCGCTATTTTGTTGTCTTTAACACCGGGGAAGAGAAAGAACTGGGACCCATCTAAAAACCGGTTTAACCAGTTCATGATAGCGAGTAAGGCCTGGTTACTAGAGCTTGGTATCAGAAGTGAGGTCAAGAAGACAAAGATGAAACCACATCACGTAATGATCAAACCACATAGCGAAGATACCAGACAACATAAAAGCGTAACCACATTACATCATGACAAGTGCACAAAACATAACTTAAGAACCTCAATACATCATGATAAAACCACACCACGTAATGAAGTTATTACACCACATGATAAAAACACATCACATCAGGACCACATTACAAGACATAATGAAGAAACCACAAAACATAATGAAGCAACTACAACACGTAATGAAGGAACCACACAACATAATGAAGTAACTACAACACATAATGAAGAAACCACACCAAATAATGATAAACAACCACATAAGAAAGTTATGGCTTTCCATACTAAACAGTGAATAACAATAATAACACACGTCGTAAATCACTTTTTAGAATTGACATTCTGAACCAGTTTCATGAAAACAAATTCTGCAGTCAAGGAGATGAATTCATACATAACATAACTTGATATACCCTGAAACACAACTACTGCCCTGCAAATTTTAGGCTGTAATGGTTGTTGGATTTTATGGTATGGACTGATTCCACAAATATTTGCAATAGATGATAGGTGAAATTATGGTAGTTTACAAAATTGTTTTAGAACTAGGAACGTGGATAAGCAAGCCAAAAAGATTTGAAATGTCCACAACGTCCAACATGGCCACTCAATTCAACCCAGTACACGTGCAAACGTCAAAAAAATCCATTACGTCACCTTCAGAAAGTCCAGATACGATTCCAACAGAGCCACATGCAGGAAAACGTTTGGTTGCAATTCCACGTGGAGGCGAGTTGTTAAAATCCTAGGAAACCTGAGGGCATGAAAAGGGACAAGTTTGAACATAAATAGACAATAATAATCAAGTCGTTAAAAGAATTCTCTCTGAACTTGAAAAATAACTCCCACAATATCCTTTCCTGGGCTTTCTGGTATGTGGACATTGTCAATGGTTTCGCTTGTCTCTCCAGGTTGACCTGACAGGTGAAAAAACGTTTCACTTCCCAGAGAAAGTTCTGCATTTCTCTCAGCAAGTCTTTCTGGTCCAGGGCATACGATTGTTTTCAGACTGCTGATGGGAATAGTGCCTGCGTGGCTCCTGTTGCCTTCATTTCTTCCCTCAAAATTTCCTAAAAATTATCATGGCGTGTTTTGCTGTCTTTGAGTGCAACAAACTTCACCAGATGTTAAAGATTGTTTCCATTTCACCTAAGTGCTTGATTTACGATTTTTTGAGTTTTTCTTTAGTCTTTGCCTAGTTTCTTTCACTGATTTTAAGTTTTGTTGGCTGTTCCTACATTTTAAAGGGAACGTTCCTCTAGTATCAACTGTTCCTCGTTCTCAAGTTCCTAGGGAGTATAAGAGGACCAGCTTTTTTTACAAGGTAGGAAGAAAACATTCACTCTAGTGTAAAAGAGGAACATTTCGTTCCAAGTTCCCAACTGTAAATGGAACACATTGTTCTCAATTTGGTAAATTAGGACTGTTTTGTTCGAAGTTCCTTTCCAGAAATGGATCACATTGTTTGCAAATTGGTCATTCAGGACTGTTTTGGTCCAAGTTCCTATTTGTTCCTATCTGTAAATGGAACACATTGGTCCCAAATTGGTAAATTAGCAGTTTTGTTCTGAGTTTCTTTCTGTATATGGAACAATTTGTTCCCAATTCAATAAGTTAGCGCTGTTCTGTTCCAAATTTTCGTCTGGGAATGGAAATAATTGTTCCCAAATTGATAGTTTAGGACTGCGTTGTTCCGAATTCCCATCTGTGAATGGAACAGTTTGTTGCCAAATTGGTCATTTATTACCAAATTTAGGACTGTTTTGTTTCCATACCATGATACCATGAAGATTTGCAAATCAAGTCCCACTCAAGTTAACCCTCGGACTTGACATTTGCCACGAAATTTGTAGCCATGTATCTGTTCATCAAAGCAAAGGGGTTGCGTCCCATGACTTATCAATAGTGACGGTGGACTTGATTGCTACAGCTAAGGAAAAGGGTGGATTCATTGATCAGAAAATGTTCAAGACTGCTGGAAAGTATGGATTTGATTCTTTGATTGTGTCCAATGCAAACATGCAAGTGCTTGATGGCTACATCTCGTATGTTAGACCTTTGCTTAAACCCCTGTGTGATTTCATTCTTGTCAACAGAAATAGGGGCCAACATGGTAAATTAGGTGAGATCATGAGCAAACTGGTGTTTGATGCACTTGGAAAGTACATCCTTCCCAAGTGTTATCGCCAAATGGCTGAAATGCAAAGCCTCAATGAGCTCACTAGCAAGGAAAAGAGGATTTTGTCCAAAGGCCAAAAACAGCTCTGCTGTTGCTAAAGTTCACTATCAAACGCAACGATCCTGAGAAGTTGCTTTGAAAGGTTAAGAGTGCCTACAAAAACTTCAAGGTACAGAAGTGGACGCGGACATCCACGCAACACTCGAAGATTCAACTTGCAACGCTGGGCCTTCTGTTGAAACAGTACAAAATATCAGCTCCTCCCCCAAAAAAGATGTCCTGCCTAAGAGAATCTTGCACTCTCTGAAGAACATTCATCATGTTTTGAAATACACAACAGAAGAGGAAGATTTCCTAAAGAAAGGGATGACTAAGTGCGGGTTTAGACAGTGGACTGCTATTTTGAGAGATGCCGATTTCCAATTTCAATTTTCAGGCCTTTTATTCTCAAACGCCACATGCCAAGAAGTTTCCAATCCTCATCCGTCCTCAGCTCTTAGCCCAGCTTTCAATAGTCATTTAGAAGCTTGCTGCCTTTCGTTCATGTGCCAAGGTCTTGCTTCTTTGATGCGCTGCACCTATTCTTGTGCCCAGGAAAACTTTGTAAGTTTCTACATCATGATTGGACATCTCAGCCCCTATTGTTCTCCATGCCCAGCCTCGGAATGGACGCTCTGCCTTTCTGCTATGTACCTAGGTAATTCCCTGTGACACTCTTCTATTAAAGTGTACCTATCTGCGGTGTGGTCTCTTCATGTCGATCAAGGGTTCATTGACCCCTTAGAGAACTGCCTTCGGCTTCAACAAGTTCTTAGGGGAATCAAGGGTTCTCAGGGTACCCTACCTTCCAGGCCTTGCCTACCATTTTCCAGTAACATTCTTTGCATAATTTACTCTACCCTCGATCTCAATTCTTTTGGCAATGTTATGTTTTGGGCTGCCTGTCTTTTGGCTTATTTTGGTTTTTGTGGTCTGCCAAGTTCAGTCCCCAGCTTATCAGCCTTCAACCCGAGTGTCCATTTGTCTGTGTGCGATGTTTCTGTGGACGGTCCTCTCGATCCATCTTGCCTTCAAGTTTTTAGAAAATGGTCTTCCACTAACTCGCTCACTGGTCACAGACAGGTTAAGAGCCATTCTCCTTTCTGCTGGTCTCCCTGATGATTTTTCCAGCCACAGTTTTCAAAATGGGACAGCCACTTCTGCAGCAAGGGCCGGTGTTCCAGATCACCTTGTCCAGGTCTTAGGCCAGTGGAAAAGTGATGCTTACAAACAATATATTAGAACCCCACCACATCTTATAACTCACGCAGCCAAATTGCTAGTGGAATAATTTTGGTGTGTATCGTTTAAATTAGTTGCATCTGAGAATTTTTGCCTCTTGCTCCCATTAGCATATTTGCTTGTTGCTTGGTACCCTGCTT